ATTGTGCTTCCTGCAGTAAGGGCTTGGATATGGTTCATGTGAGTGGCTGCAGGAGGCTCCAGATGTGCCCCAGATGTGCCCCAAACTGCCCCAAACCTGCCCCAGATGTGCCCCCATCATCCCTGCCCCATCCCTGCCCCAGCTGTGCCCCCTGAGAATGTCCCCAGGGACACCCTTGGGGTGTCTTTTTCCCTGAAGGAAAAGAACAATTGCAGCTCTGAGACTGTGTTTGACATTCCTCTTTCTTCCTCCCTCTTTATTCAACTTTTATTTCCATTTTTGAGTGCCTCTAGAAATAACACAGAGATGGAGGATTATCAGTAGCGTTCCAAGATGATCAATTTAACCAGACTTCAAGAAGTTTTCTTGTGTTGCAACAGAATTTACTGAACTTTTGTGCCACAAGTTATTTTCTAATCTTTCAGTGGCATTCCCAGCTCCTTATTTCATTTTTCTACCAAGTCGTATCACATCAGGTTTTTTTTTGGGGGGGTAAATTCAGTGTAATTATTACTTTCAACTACTCAAGTTACTCTTGTGTGTGTAGTTTACATCCCTTGCACACCTAATTTTTTCCTTCTATGTTCTATATAGCCATAGTTCTTCTGTCAGGTAGAGGGAATAACAAAGCAGTTAATTTCTTTTGTATATTTACATTTGCTGCCAAATGCAATTGGGAAGCCACTTGCCAGATGGAAATAAGATGAAATTACTCATTCATTTCCCATGACAATGTAAGGATGTTTTTGTTCACTGTGTGTACAGACTTGGCAGAAATTGGAGATTAAGGCTCAGGCTAAGGTGGGCTAAAGTTCACCTGAATGTCTGCTTTCTCCACGTTGTAATTCAATGTCCTGCTTTTAATCTCCCTTTAATTTTCATCCTCATCATATTCATGACTGACAGTTTTGCTGTTAATTCCTTATTAAAATTATTCATTGATAACCTAAAGAAAGAAAGCAATTTCATATGAACAGGACATTTCAGCTCGTAATAAAATGGCTTAACAACTTCAGTACCATTAAGTAAAATCATATATATTTTGAAAAATTAATCATAGCCACTTTTAAGGCTCTTCAGTAGCTAAATTAATGAACAGGTGTAAAATGATAATTTTCAAGAATAATGTATGCTTCCTTTCTTTTCCTACAGAAGTACAAAAGTATTGATGGCACAATTTTTTTTTTTAATGAAGTCTCTAAAGTATTTCAGCCTGTTTGTGTATTTTCTTTGCCATGATTCTCATTAGCCTTGTTGAATGTGTTTTAAACATAGATCCCATTTTGTTTGGTGTGCCCTGGATGGTGTCAGGCAGGGCCCTTTCAGGGGATTAGAGGAGTTCCCAGCTGAAGGTGCAGCTGGAGCTGGGTGATGGCAGAGGAGCAGCAAACAATCCTTGCAGCATCTTGCATCAGCTTTTTCCCTCCACCTCTGATAAACAAATGTATTGCTGCAAACTTCATGGAGCTCTAGTTAGGAAAAAAATAACTTATTTTGTGTTGGTGTTTCCTTCTGTTTTCTGGTCTTAAGAAAGAATCTCTGTGTGGCCCATGCTCTCCTTTGGCCTTATCTTACAGGCTGTTTTTCCCTTCTCCTCTTTTCTCTACTTGAGGCAAAGTTATAAAGAAAAGTCCAGCCCAAAGCTTCTACAGTTCTAGCTGATGTGAGATAATTATTGGCCATTTTGCCATTTCCGTGCCTACTAATTATTGGTTTGTTGGGTTTTTTTTAATGCTTTCTTAGTTCTTACTTCCTCCCACCCAAATAGGGCCATCACTTTAAATAACCAAGAGTAGAATTGTCTCCATTTCTTGAAAACAAAACCCTCACCCATGTATCTGCCTCTGTGTGTGTATATGTGTTCCAGATAAATCCAAACATCCATCTGCATCAGCGTGTGTGAAATGGGATTAACCACCCTGAGAACCACAGGGATGCAGGGCAGGGGATTTTAAAATGCTTTGCATAAACACAGCAGCCATTCCTGAGCTTTGTGTGTTATCCCAGGCATGGGGAGTGAAACAGCAGAGCACAGCCTTGGGAGAGGGAATTCTTGTGATGCATCTGCTGCTTTCCTGTGGGAGCAAAATCCTTGGACTTCTGGGCTCTTACTGGGGTTTGTGAAGGAGATATTTTGTCTCTTTTGCAAAGAAAGACTTGCTGGAGAATCTGGGCAGTTGTGCAAGGCTCTGCCATCCTTTAGGACTGACACAGAGATGAGCAGTGAGCGTGCTCTGGGATGTGGAACTGCTGAGCTGTGGCTGTGGAAGGCTCCGTTTGGATCCAGCCATGGTTAAGGTGTGGGAAAAGCTTATCATAATTGAAACAAGAGCAGAAACACAAACAGGGTGCTCAGGTGTGGATGGAGCAGGGAGTTGGGTCAGGGTTGGACCCTGTGCAATAAGAGCTCAGCTGAGCTGTCCCTTCCAGTGTTCTGGTGCTTCATTACCTGTGTTTGGAGAGTGAGGAACTGTCCCTTCTGCTGCACCTTTTGTTTTAAACTCTGCCCATTTCTGTGATGGAAGCCTGGCTGTGGCAGTCCCTGGCTCTGGGTGCTGCCTCTCAGATCTGTTGGTTTGCAAAACAGCTGATTGTGGATGAAGATGTGAGGCAGTGCCATTATCAAAGTGCTGTAATGAATAATCACAGCACTAAACTCCAAATCTGTACGAAGTAATGGAGCTGCTTTAGCTTCCAGATTGATTTTTCATCTTGCTTTTCTGAGCTACCCTGTGCTGTCTGCTATAAAATCCTTCTTTTATCTCTCCCTTTGGTTGTGTGGCATCAAACCAGAAAGCATCTTATCTTTAAACAGGCACTTGTGAAAGGAGAACCTGACAAGGGGCAGGAGGTTGGTCACCGACAGTGGATTGAGTTCTGAAAATATTGAGTATATTTTTAATTGAGTTAATTATTCAGAATTCTGTAATCTGTGGTTGTGTTGCAGTTGAATCACTCCTAAATGGACAGTGTGATCAGAGGCAGTGGTAGAAGAGGGATGAGCGTGGCTTTGGAGAGCTCTCTGATGCTCCTTGGCATCCCAAGTGTGGCTCAAACGTGCTGGAGAGGTTCTAGGAGCTGTCTGAGCTAGAAATTGTAATAGTGTGTCTTTGTGCTGTGAGTTCTGGCTTGGTAAGGTCGGTGCTGATGCTGTATTGTGACTTCAGCAGTCACAGGAGCATCTGGTTTGGTGTGTCTCTGGTTTTTGTGAATTGGCATGAAGTTAACTTCGAGTCTCATGCGTGGAAAGATTAGAACTTTTTGGAAAGAACATCTTCATCTGGCCTTTGTCAAGTAGAAAAGTTTTAATCTAAGCCAGACATCATCTGATGTTTGTGAAGGGGTGAGGGGGGCAGTGGTCAATGCTCTAAGGACGGGATCCATGGAGATCTGGAGGGTTTAACTCATGGACAGATCAGGTTTGCAATAGGTCACTCATCTTCCTGAGCCGTTTTCCCATCTCTCAGCAGACACAGATCCATCCATGCAGTGTCTCTGGTGGAACAGAACTCGTAGTGTTTGTTCCCTTCCCCTGGGACAGCTCATTTTAACTCTTGGGGTATTTTTTTGTTTGTGTTGTTGAGCACCTGGTCTGATTTCCTTGTCCAATTGAGAACAATTAGCAATAAGGTCTGATTACTTGATCAAGTGTCATTCCAGAATTTTAAAGGGAGCTCATTAGAGTTCAGGGCTCAGTTCTGGTGAATTCTGGGGTTCTGTGCTGATCTCAGGGCACACACAAATCCCAAAGCAGCTGCTGCAGGGCAGTGCAAGGCAAGGGGACAGCAAGTGTTGCTGTGTTGTGGAATTCTCATTTCTGTGCAGCTTTCCCTGCTCTGGGCTCTTCAGAGGGAGCTCCTGGTACTGCCCCAATCAGCTCTGGCATGAAAATGCCCAAGGTAAACTGATTATTCAGTGCTATAAACCCAGCAAAATTGCTTCATGCCAGATGTTTTCCTTGTGGTAATGGGTGTAAGGAGGCAAACACCTGTTTTCTGTGTTATTTTAGAAAAAAAAAATATTAAAGAGGTTGAAACGGAGATTTCATGTTGTTCTTCACAGTAAAAATTAACTTTTTTTCTTAGGAGGTACCTGTAATGAAAGCTGTGATGGCTCATTAGAGTGCAACAAAAAATAGTGCTCAGAGAACAAAACTGTGTTCAGGGTGCTTGAAACTTCTTAATTTGACTTTGCAGTTGTTCAGTCACTTTTGAATGACTTAAAATATTCATTAAGTTCAATTAATGTTAAGCACAATTAATGTTAAGTTCAATTAATGTTAAGATTCTATTCCTTCAGTGCCAAATATGTTATGTGATATTTAAAAGGAAATAAATCCTTGTTAATGGGTTTACTTAATGCTTAAGAAAATTTGGTGGAAATTGACTGTTTTAAATTATGCAAAAAATCAGCTTATATTTTAGGTACTCCAATACCACATTTCTTCCCATATAATTTCAAGTGCTGAATAAAAGGCTACTGATTCTTGCTAATTTAAAAGAAATTGCTTTAAATTATACACTGTTTTGTTTTGCTTTTTACCACTGACAACATAAATAATTAATAGAAACATACCTTTGTTCAGTGTGATAAATATCAAATGATTCAAGTTGTTGGTTTTGGATAAAGAACTTATTAATATGATTTATGTTTCAATAGAGGGCACTCACGTGCTTTGAGGTAACACCAGATCCCTGTATTTTTAAAAGTGCTTGCAATAAATTGGAGCTGAAGTGAAATTTCCCAGGTTAAAATACATAAATATTATTTGATAGTGCTTGGGAAAATTGTTCATTATCATATTTTTATTCCTTGTTCCTTTCAGTTTTGGACATTTGCTTTGTTTGTTTGGATATTTTACAGTAAATTGAGGCAGTGCAGTCATTTTGCCTTGAACTTATTCTAAAAATGTATTATTATGGCTTTCTAATGGACTTGCTGTTAGCTAAGATTGAACAGTTGTAGTAATGAATAGAATTTAATAAATACCTCCTTTCCAGCCAAAAAGCCTGTAGAAGAATCAGAAGAGAAGAAAGCGGCTCAGTCAAAGAAGAAGATCAAAGAATTAAGAGTTTTGGATGGAAAATCTGCACAAAATTTATGTAAGTGGTGTGTAAACCATTAGGTCAATATCTAAGTATTGTCTACACCTCACTGTTGATAAATTTTCTTTTTTTGCTAACATGTCTTAACATTTTTTTTTTCTGAAAACTGCTAATTTGAACATGAGTCCTAAATTCAAAATTGTTTGAATACATCATATAACCTGGAAAAAATGAAAGAAAAAAAAAAAAAGGAAAACTATTTAGACTGAATGAGCTACTGAATGGTTTTTTTGTCAGTCTGTTCTTTCATTTATTGCTCCAGACTAAATGAGCTGATGGTCCCTGTTTGGGGCAGGGCACAGTGCTGGTGGCTTTGGTGGGATGGACTTTGGTGACCTTTCCTGATGGCTCCTCCTGGGCAGAGCAATGAAGGAAAAGAGGTTAAAGAGAAGGTGTTATAGATGGGCTAAATATGTGCAAACATACTGCTGTAAATGGTTACAAAACCTGCCCACTTGTACATTCACATTGCTGCTTCCCTCTTTAATTATGGAGGGAAATAATCATTAAGAGTAGTAAAGTCTTTTATTTGAGTTAGAAACACCATAAATGGCACTAGTCTGACTCTGCCCATGGCAAATAAGTGTGAAAAACCAAATCTGTGCATTGTTGAGTAGCACATCCATGAGCAGGGAATGAACTGTGACCCAATTGATATCAAATTTCAGGTTTTGAGAGTGTGGATGGGTGTGGGATCATCAGCCATGGTAGCTGGGCTGAATATAAAGCACTTTGTTACCATGTTATGCTGCTCCATCTGTTAAGACTGCTCTGTGGTTTAGTGAATGGGGCTCTCTTGAGATTTTATAACATTCTGAGATCAAATTGCTTTGAGAAATCCATCTTTGAAGGGTTTGCATTTTATGTGTCTCTTGCATAAGTTCAGTTACCCTAAAAAGTGATGTTCGGGCAATTTTTTCTTACTTTGTCCAGCTCTTCATTACCCCTTTGATGTAGAATTTTTTGTAAAATACCATGTAAATATAACTTACTCAATTGCAAATGCAGTGCAGCTTTTCATAAATGGTTATGGAAGCAATAATAATAATAATAATAATAGTAATGATGATAAGGTCTTTATTGGCTCAGTAGGTCTGTGTAAGTAGTAATGCAAATGTCATTCATAAAGATAAGACTTTATTGCTAAGTGACATTGATAGGGAGCAACTGAGGCTGATTAAAAAGTTAAAAGTGTTGTCACAGTTTCATCTCTTAGAAATAAAATTCATTATAGGTCATTATAAGAAAATTCATTGTAAACTGCAGTGGTGTGCCTCATGTAGCATTTGTTTTGTAGAGGAGACTTCTTAACTGTGAAACACAGTTTGGATGAAAATACAAATTTTTTTGACTTGCTAGAAATTGTTTACCTTTGTATATCAATCATTTTGACCTTTTTGATTCTAATGATTTATTACTGAATTTCAGCAATATTTTTGGGTTCCTTCCGTTTGCCTTACGAAGAAATAAAAAATATCATTTTGGAGGTTGATGAAGAGAAGCTGAGTGAATCCTTGATTCAGGTATGTGAAAATAGCTCTGCTTTTGTTCATGGCTCGTTTTCCTCATGGAAATGGCCTGAAGGTGTAGGAATTCATGAGTAAGAGCAGTGCAGATTTGCTGTAGGGTATCAGCTGCAAGTGTAGCAGTTGTATTTACTGTTTCATTGATTTCCCTTCTGCTTTGGAATATGGTCACATGGAGCAGTAAAATGGCTTTTCAAAGACACTCTTAAGAAACAAAGCCTTGGAATCTCCCCTTCCAAAAGGAAATATTTGAGAATTTTGGTTTTTCAGCTTCAAAGTCAAGCTCAAAAACATGTAGGCTGGTGCATAATGAAGTTTGATGAGTTTTCTTGTGGAAGCAGCTCTGGAGCAGCTCTGCCTGTCTCCAGTGAGAGATGAAACTCCCCGAGTGTTTCAGGATAGTGCTGCTACTCCAAACCTGTCTGTAGATCAAACCTGCTCTCAAGCGTGTTTGGCCTCGTTTGGAGCCCCAAATCTCTCAGTTGGAGAGAAGAAAAGATGGAATGCAGCTTCTTTACATCCCTGTCTGATTTCCTCCCCGAAGGAGGAGAGTGTGTGCATGGTCCCTATGATGTCTGAGGAGTGACAGTTCGACAGAGAAGCATGCAAATCCTAAAAGTTACTCAGGTTTAGCACCCCAGTAATGCTGTGTTGTTTTATTTAATATTATATTCAACACTGGGCCTCAATTTATCCTTTCATCCTTCCCTGGCTCCTGGTTGCATCTTTGTCCCATTCCCCTCCAAGGTTTTCTAAATTAATTTATTCTGCATTTCTTGGACTGGAAAAATGATTATTCTGGAGACTCTGGTCTGAACTGAGTTGCCTCAGTATCTGAAAATAAGTTCAAAGTATTAAATTTATTGAGGACTTGGTTTATTGATCAGATCCTGTGATTAAGAAGCTTGCAGGTTTAGTAAAATCAAAAATCAAGGGGGAGGAAACAACTTGGACGGCTGAAGTGGTTTCACACTGATCTCTGTACAAATGGAGCTCCACAGAGGAGCTCCACCAGTGATAATTCAGCCCTGTTTTGGTCACAAGTTAAAATGACACTTTATGGGTTCCTGTGAGGTAAATTAACTTCATCCCAGCCAGGCCTGGGTGACCACAAAAAAGGCCACTGTGATTGGAAGGTGTGTTGGGTCAAGGATTTCCAGTCAGGAGGATAATTTTTGTGCTTTTGAATAGTCTCCTTCCATGACCTTACCTAAATGACTTGGTACATTTCTCACAAATGAATTTAAAATAGAGAAGCTGAACTTAAAAACTACTTCAGATGATTGAGGGATAGAGGAGCAGTCTCCAGAAGGAAGCAGAAGAGATTGGCTTGATTAGATCAGCAATATATAAATAGCTGGCAGGATATGAGCAGGGTACAACTGTGTGGGGAGGAGAGGGATGGGTGTGAGCAGCAGGGACAAAAGCAAGGTGTAACTCCAGAATAAATGTGTGTGAGTGGATCATGGGTGCAGCTATCCAGAAACTCAGCAGAATAAAATGTGCAGAAAATTGGTGCTTTGAGATTGGTCCCTTTGTGTAGGGAATGGCAGAGCTGCCTCCAGTTGCAGGGAGATGCTGCTGATACCTGGGAGAGATTGCTCTGTGTTCAGAGATTTTCATCCAAATGGACTGGGGATGGATCATCCATCTCTTACTCAGTCTGTTCTGGTTCATTTTTATTCTGATCTTTCAACTAATTTACCAATTTAGCAGTTTTTAATACTAAGATTGGAAAAATTGTGCAAAGCAAGCCTTGCTTCCTTCCATGCTTAGCAAAACTCAGACTTTATAAAGTGCCTGTGTGGAAAGTGCTTTGTTCTAAGTATCAAAGAGTGGAAGTGGAATGGATATGGCATCATCAAGCAGATAGCAAAGTGCTTTTTCCATTTTGCTTCTCAGGCACTCGTTTCTTGCTGCTTTTTAAACTTGCATTGTAATACTTCAATAAATTGGATTAATGAGTGGGAGTACCTGGTAGAATATGTACTGTTGTGACTCTTCCTCAAGGGAAACACTGGGAAAAAAATGTTTTCCATTCCTGGTGTGTCTTAGAGGGGGTAAGTTGTTGGAAGCAGACAGTTGTCAAACACCATGTCTGACAGGATTCAGGGCCTGTGACAGTGAGCAGTGAGTGACAGTTTCAGCCTCTTCGTGTCAACCTTGGTTTCCTTTTTATGCTTACGTGAACCATTTTTATTTCCCTTCTTTTTATTTCAACCTGCATCATAGTGAATAGAGCAGGAAAGTGTTTCCTGAAGTACTGACAGGGTTTGAATATGTGATCACTGAATGCTTTATCTTCATTTTCAGTTATTCAATCCATGCAGTGGATGTAAATATACAGATTTAGCTGTGTGTATATCTGAAAAAAGGAGCTGCAGTGTGGGCAGAGCCAAACTGTTCCTGTTACAAGCTGGAATAAAATCAGTTAATCCCTTGGCTCTGACCCATTGAGGGTTGGGTGAGGAGAAGGAAAAATCAAGCACAGATCTGTTATCAGTTAACAGATATTGGTAATACAGCTACAAAACAGCTGCTTTAGCAATATTCTTCTATTTCTGCATTGATGGAAAAGCAATGTTTTACAGTGAGTTTATTAATGTGCAATGAAATCTCCATTTCTGACAAATACTGTGAAATTCTGGAGGACAGCATCTGGTAAATAGTCTAGCTAATCAAAATAGATTAAAAAAATTGCCTCAGTTAATGTCTTTGATCTTTACCAACATTAAGCAATTTATCAAATGAGCAAGAATGTTTTACAGATCCTTAATTTTTTTTTTTCAAGTATAAACCTGCGGGACATAGGTTTGTGTTAATAGGAAACAAACTTAGGTTTAATCACAGCTTTACTGTGACACAGAGGTGACTGTGATGTTTCTCTGTGCCAGAAGTTTTGAGCTCTGCTTTCTGAGACAATCAGTAACTCCTCAGTGTGAGATAAAAACCTTTCTGCAGCAGGGATGGTTTGTCTGAGGCTGCCTGTCATCTTTATTTTTTTTTTAATTAAGATGGGTGAATGTTTGATTCTTTCAGCTCGGAGAATTAAGTTTGTTATCACTTGCAAATTTGACAAATTAGACTGATTCCTTTCTCCAAGTTGGACCTTAATGTCTCCTTCCAGCCTGGCACGGTGATCAGTAATCAAATTCTCAAAACAAAGAAAAATATTACAAGATGATGGCAAGATTGGGCTGTTCTAAAAATAAGACATCTGTACCTCTAATAGTACAGATTTTCTCCAATTAAAATTTTTATATCTGAAAAAAATGTGCTGCTGCAGTGCTGGCTGCTTTTCCAACAGGCGTATAACTTTTCCTATTGATGTTTGCTTAAATATAATTTTATATTTTTTTTTCTTTAAAGAATTATATTATTGCTTTGATTTCAACTGATGAAATTTTAAACATTTAAATACAATCTACACTTTCACTGGGTATTTTTTAAAGTGTTCTTCAGTCTTAACAGAAGTATTTTATATATTTGGCATATCTGCATTTTGAGATGTTAAGATCATATAATAATTCACAATTTGCTCTGGGGACATGAGTAAGATTGCAAGCAAGTTCAGCTTTTTCCTGAATTCCTCTATATTTGCCATCCAAAAGATCTGTGCAATTTGGGATGTTGACCTTTTTTGTGTGAGGTGTTTTTAGGTGTAATTTGTGCACAGCTACTTTGAAAGCCTCAAGACTGTAATTTTTTTTTAATTTTACTAGTTTTGTCATGTTTTACACCAGTTATTTCTTGATTAATATTTAATGAGCAAGATGCAACCATTAGGGCAATAAGAGATTGCAGATGGACAAAACTCCTTGATGCTGTCAGACCTGGAAAATGATCCTCTAACCTTTTAATACAGAGAAAGCATTCTTCAGCTCAGAGACTGCAGCAGAGCAGTTGATGTCTGTATTAAATAATTACTGCTTTGATTTGATGTTTATATCGTGGCGAATAAAATAAGCGCCCCGTAATTTCCTGGTGCGTTTCCATGTTGTGCTATTTTAAATGTGTTATTTTGGGTCTCTCAGGTGTTTTAATAGAACAAATTTGATATAATGCCTTGTTTGTTTTAGAACCTGGTGAAGAATCTTCCTGAGCAGAAAGAACTCAATGCCTTAGCTGAATTAAAGGATGAATATAACGATCTCGCTGAGCCGGAGCAGTTTGGAGTTGTGGTACGTATGAGTGCACTGATTAACTGCAGAGTTTCACTTTGGCACATGAAAAAAAAAAGAATTTTAGGGTTAAAATATTGTTTTTAGTGTTTTTGCAAGACCTACAGTAGGAAAAAAATACTATTTCCTATTGAATAATCAAAAAATGTCTTGAATATGTGTTAGGCCAGCCAGGGTTGGGACCAGATGAGCTGTAAGGTCATTTCCAATGTGAACCACCATGTGATTCCATGATTCTGGGAATGGAATTACACTGTGCCATCAACAGCAACAGGCAATCATGTGCCAGACCAAACATTTTGTCTGCCTGACTTGTCTTTAATGTTTATTATTATCTTAAACGTTTATTATTATCTAAAACATTTATTATTATAAACATTTATTATTATCTAAAATCTTCTCTGAAGAACCCTCTGGCTTCAAGCATATAAATTTCCTTGAGTCTGTGGCAGACCCAGTTATTCCATGGCACAGACAGTTGGCAATGGCAGCATTTGCAGAAGTTAATTATTTAATAAATGAGTTATTGAATCTATTCTGGTGGTGATTGTGGGGTCTGAGCTCCTGAGTTCTGTGCCAGGCCTTGGAAATCACTTTTTGCTCCTGGATTTCCTGAGACCTGAGAAGTCTTTAGGCAAATGAGTTCCTGTTTTTGCTTCACTCTGGCAGCCTAAGAGATTAAAATGATGATGAGAGCCTCTGTAACACGCTCAGGATTTATCCCCAACTCCACAGGAGCTACGTTTGCTCTTGCTGGATTTTTTAAGGCATTATGTACATTAAAATGCATTAAAGCAGAAATAGAGGCCTCTTAAAAGACTTTTTTTTTGCTAAAAAGCTCTGATTTGAGCATAATTTGGCTTCAGAAGTGCCTTTTGAGTGGTTTTTTTTTTTTAATTATTTTTTGGTTGGGGAAGTAATGGAATATGATTTGTCCTAATGAGATTTTTGTAGAGGATTTAGAAAATGAAAGATATCAGTGGCTTCTTTTGAAAAATTTCAGCCTATTGATTTTTTTTTTTTTTAATAAATGGTGTAAAGTTCCAAAAATCTTTTCTTTCCAAAGAAAGATGAGGA